ATTGAGTTAGAAATCTTCGTCGATTCATAAAACTTTCCATAAATTTACTATTCTATCTTTTAACGTTACAACTTCTTTCGACTTGTTAGAAATGTTCTCATTTGCAACGCTAAAGCTAACAGTTTTCGTTGCGTCCTACGTTTATCCGGAAGTAAACTGGCAACCGGTAACCGGCAACCGGCAACATGCTTCGAACAAAATCGAGTATCTTAGCTTCGTCCATAAGGAGAGATCCTGCTAGAAGAAGGATTTTACGAAGGAGTCTGGTACAAAAAAGGTCCTACTGAGATTAAATTCAATTGGGTGGATTAAACGCGAGCACGATCGTGCCGTAAATTCCAGTCTCTCCCGTTTCCTACTCGAATGCTTTCCCTGCCCTCTAAATACTACTAGAAGTGTAGCATCCAGTAGTAGTAGTAGGTAAATGTATATTTAGAAGCAAAAACTTAGCTCCTAAGAATCTTTGAGAACTTTATCGCGCGTTTCTAGCATATAAATAGAAAGAAGGTGGAAGAAAATGAACAAGAAAACAGTAAAAAAGAGTAAAAAGGAGTAAAAGGGTATAAGGTGTATAAGATATGAAAAAAGGAAGACGAAAAGGAAGAGGAAAAGGAAAAGGAACGGTGGAAACGAAAAGAGATTCATCTGTGGTCGGCGAAGGCTCTTTTTCCGAGAGCTACCAGGGAACGAATGAGCTTACAAGTCTCTCCGACGGAAGTTGGGCATTGTGGCCATGTTAGGATTTCCCATGCGAGGCGTACGTTACGTTAAGTTACGTTACGTTACGGCGCACCATGAAATATGCAACGCTATCTGGTACCGTTGCCGCAACACTCTGGCGATCCGCACCCTATTTCCAAGCAGCTCATAGCCAAAGCCCGCACCATCTGACCATCAGCTTCTACCCTTCCGAATCAAAGGCACAATTTCCTTCCCTTCGTATGGCTTTCAGATACATATCGAGAAAGTAATTTTGCAATCGAACACAAATCGACGCATCGCGTTTGCTTTTAACGAACTCTCGAGAACAACCTCGTGTAAATCGTATGTCTCTCCCTTCCTTTTTCACCCCCCCTTTCAACTAGAGTGGATGGATAGTGTAAGTGTTGTTATTCGCTTCACTGACGATACTCCTCACACACACACACACACACTCGTTACGCACTGCTGCAGGTGGCAACAGATAAGGACGCAGTCTATAAATTAATTAGCCTAACTCTGTAAGACCCAAAAGCCGCATGCGCATAGGAACGTCGTCCTATCTAAATCTGCATTAAGCCACCTAGCAGCCTAGACAAAATTTACAACCTTACCTTGCTCCTTGCTCCTCGCTCCTCGCTCCTCGCTCCTTGTTATTCTTCTCTCTCAACCCTTCCTTCCAAAATCCAAGATTCAAACGACGCGAATCCTTTCTTCTCTTAACTTTTATCAAATTGGTGAAAAGTATTAAAGAAACCCGAATAGACAGATAGCAGTCAGTGTTCTCGGTTTGAAAAAGTATACGACGAAACCCCGTGAGAATTTTTCTCATCATTTCTATTTCTCCGATTCCAACTATAGAAATTTATGAATGCCTTCTGGATTACGAGTATCTCTGGTATGCACGAATATAAGGTATTACAAGACTAAGAAGACGTTCCTGAAAAATGTTCTAACCTTCCTCATTTCCCAGAACCTCCCCAAAAACCATCCCCCAAGAACCGATCTTCTCCCTTCTTCTGTGTCGGACATATTCATTTTATCGCGCATATCCATCACTACGAGACGTTCCCTTAATCCGTGACTTAAATCGTGCTGACAGCTTCTAACGTTTTACTCGCTCAACGTCATTAATGTGGATATACGTAAATCAACGTAGAATATGGGTATTAACCAAAAATATGACCTTTGGGAGGGAGGTATTGCCAAAAGAATAAATTAGGACGATTGACAAAGTTCAGATTTATATTGTCTCATGATAATAAAAACGAGGAGAATATTAACAAGTACATTCGCGGATAAAAATGAACACTATAAATTACTTTTATTAATTCAATGTAACATATATCGTGTCACATCGAATGATGATAGCGTTCCACACATCCTCCAAACAGAATGAATTCGCTCACTAAATTTGGAGTATATTTTTTACTCATTTCTTTCGAGAAAGGGAGAGAGAGGGAGAGCGTAGGAGGAGGTAGAAGGAAGAAAAAAAAACTATAGTTTGCTCTTCCACTTGGAAGAAGTTCGCGTATCCCAGATGACTCATATTGTGTAAGACGTTTAATGGTGCAGTAAATTCTGACGTTGGTGGCTATAGGTATTCGACTCGTTTCTTCTTGCGCACGAGTTAACGGCACTTTAAGGGAGCCGCTCGAGCGAACGTTAAAAATGATGTAACGGGCCAACGTTAAGCGTTACAACAAGTTTCACGATGAAAATGTAACACGCTTGATTTCTACTCTGTTACTTCATCAAAGAATTCGATCATTTTTTCTCTATCTAAGGCTACAAAGCGAGAACATAAATTCGAAAAAGAATAGGAGAGTATTATTAAGTTTGTAGAAAAGTCGTCGATCTCTCCGTTCTTCCTATGAATATATGTGGTACTTCGATATGTAAGCATTTTTTCGAAAGGACGCGAGGAGTTGCCCTGATACTACTGGAAAAAGTATAAAGAATAAATTTAAATATCGGCCGACTCCTTTGATATGTTAACAAGACCGGCTCCCTCCGACTGACTTCAACCGGCAGCAACCGGGTGGGGTGACCGAAACAGCTACACTAAAATTCTTTGATAGCGATATCATCCTTCAGCCTTTTTCTATCCTTTTTTTTTTCGTCCCGGTTCATACTACTCGTGTATTATTTCTAGCCTTTATGGTTTAAGAGCTCGCCCGTTCCGCGATTTATGTTTTCTCTACCGTCGTTTTCCACCTGCGAATATATGCAAATGTTATCCCTTGGAACGAGCCGAGAAGCTTTCTTTTCTCTTTTACCTAGAACTACCAGCTCGCACTTCATCCCTTATTCGTCTTTTACCATTGTGATAGAAAGAATAATAGGAAAATGGGGAAATAAGAATAATGAGTATTAGCTTTCTCTTTCAATACAATTTCTACGTTATTATTATTATTATTATTATTATTATTATTAGTAGTAGTAGTAGTAGTAGTAGTATTTTTAATGTCGCTATTTCTATTATCTTTTGATTGAACTTTGATTTTGCTACGGTTGGAACGAATAAATCGACATAAAGTTTATTTTATCGTCGTTGTGTCATTTATTTTTGTTGAAAATGAGTGTTGGAAGCGTTATCGTTCGACGAACCATCCGGATATCGATCTGCTTTACTGCCAGAGAAAATAGAGAAAAGAGTTCATCGCTAATCCTAGCACACGCTATATATTTGCGTTGCACTGCAGGACTTTTACTCTCGAGGAAAAAGTCGAGTGAGTCTCGTAAACGAGCAATATTCTGTATCTATATGCATGTATGCGTGTATGTACGTGGACGGCAAGTTGCCACTCGAGGATCCATTTGAATATTTAAAGTTGCACAGCGCGACGCGCACGAAAACTTTGCCTTCCTTCCTTCCTTCCTTCCGTAAGAACACACCCCTACACGTAAAAGATATATCTTCGGTATATGTATGCGCATATGTGCATATGTGTAGATAATACGTACGAGTCCAAAAGAACGATCTTTCCGAATTTTTCATCGCTTGGTTCTTTCTAGCTATCGCATAGCAATTTTTTCTTCCTCTCCCTTTAACCCTCTTCTTTTGTTCTCTTTTACTTGTGTACTCCTTCTTTCCATCTCTTTTAACTTCTTCCAACTTTCTTTCTTCTTGTCCATCATTCTTATATCATTCCAGCGTGCAACACTCCTCTCGTGTTATTTCCCTTCCTTCGCGACAAACAAAAAAGCGTTTATTCGTCGCACGTCAGACTCTCGGACGTGTCCCTTTCTTTTCCTTTCTTTTCCTTTCTTTTCCTTTCTTTGCCTTTCTTTTCCCTCTTCATATGCTCCACCACTCGTCGCCTTTTTCTCATACGTTTCTACTCTCTTTTACTCTTTTATTTTCTCTCTCTTTCTCTCTCTCTCTCTCTCTCTCTCTCTCTCTCTTCGTCTTTCTTTTCTTTCCATCTATCTCTGCGTGACTGATGAAACTCGTAGTCATATAGGTTGGATTCTTAGCGTTCACGAAAATTCTTATTCCCAAAAACTTTCAGCTCTTCTTATTTACTGCTCGTTCTACGAGTAAACGTAGACGATGTTAAAGAGGAAAAACTTTGGATGGAAAACCATCACGATAAAGGGACATTAATTAAATTTCTTCGAGTAAATATCTTTGAACCAAGTAAGATATTAAATTAAAGTAATTAATAGAACAAATATATTACTTGGTTTGAAAATAAAATCAAGTAAACTTAAGTACTATTTTAATTTAATTTCGAAAGATATAGATGAAAATGATGTAGCTGAAAAGCAATTAACGTAACTACTACGTGTAGTAGGATAGTGTAGTTGAAAGACTTTTCTATGAGTGCGCGAGAGTGTGTGCTTCACCGGATGAGTCTCTCAGAGGAGGCGTCATTTAACTTGTACGAACTCGTCAATTCTCGTTGAGAAGATGTAGGTGTATATCATGGACGTGCAATAGTTCATACATATACTCACATTCAACGCCCAACCAACGTGCAACCAACGCGCAACCAACGCGCAACCAACCCGCCGTTTCCCCATTTGCGAACCGACGAGAAATTGACACTTTCACGAGTGATGTCGAAATTTCGGTTATTTTCGTTTCCACGCCAAATATTTCGCGATCTCGATACGTATACAAATATACACAACTCTCGACAGATTCTTTCAACGATATACACGTAACCGCTTTCCAAAACGTCGTCGAGTTTACAAACAAATCGATAACACAGCTTTTCTTCGTCTTTTCTTACCTCTTTCTAAAAAGAATTCAACCAAATTTCACATTCCCTTTTTTTCTTCTTATGTTACAGTTTGGACAGGCAACAACCATTCACTTTTCAGTTGGGCGTTGGCCAAGTGATTAAAGGATGGGATCAAGGTTTGTTAGACATGTGTGTCGGCGAGAAAAGAAAGTTGGTCATTCCCCCGGAACTTGGTTATGGTGATACTGGAGCCGGAAATGTTATACCTGGAGGTAAAATAATCATCCTATAATAAATGAGATTATTTTAATACGCGATATAAACATAATTGTAATTTTAAATGAAGAATTCATTTATTATTCGTTTATTCATTGTGTTGTTTATTCATGGACGGACGGTGGGAATATGATTTAGCCATTTGAAATTTTTAAATGTGAAAATATTTGAAAAATCGTTCATCGGTTAAATATGAATAAACGAAATCGGGAGAGACGTTACGACACGAGCAGCTTACTGTGATGCGAGGGGATCGTTAGGATCGAGATGGGAGTCCAAAATGCAATTGCATGAAAATCCAATAAAGCTTCGCCCGTTAAATGGGACACCGTTGTCCATGATCGTTCGTTTGTTCGTTCGTTCGTTCGTTCGTACGTTCGTTCAAATCGACAGCAATGCACGCTTCGTTTATTTTTAAGATAGCCTTTCTCATTTTCTATACCTACCTCTATTTTATGATTCCTCTGAGAGAGGTCAAGAACCATACCTTAAATTGACTTGATAAACTTTCCAACAAAAATCATCAAATGTTTTTTCGATAACGTTGTATCGAAAAATTCGTTTCAAATGAAAAACAATAAAAAAAAAAAAAAAATAAATAAAAAAAAGAATAAACCGGTAGGTTTATTGATTTATTTTTACACAACAAATACTTGGAACGATGCGAACACTCCATACGTTTGTTAATTCCGCTCGTTTGAGCGGGAAATAATTAAACGGCATATTTCATTAGTACTGCTTTAATCGCGACGGTCGATTCCATAATTAATAACGAAACGTGCATTAACCGAACGGCGACAGTTCGTTAGCTCTCCCTCTCTCTCTCCCCCCCCTCTGTTTCTCTGCCAAATATTCCATTAACTTCTACCGAGATATCGACATTTTTATAGAAATCTATTAACGATAGAAAAAAGTTTATTCATTTCTACCATGAAGCAACATTTATGGACAATTATTTCATTTGTAATGAAAGTCAATTTCAAAGTCAATTTTTCGGTCTAAGAAATATGAGTTACAATAATAGCGATAATAAGAGTTATCGAATATCAGATTTATAAAGAAGAGTTACGGTCAATATTGACCACCAGCTAGCATAACATTGTACCATTTTTTCTCAAAATTGTTCCATACCGCTTGACTCTTTTCTCTCCCTTTTTTTTTCCCCCGCTCTTTCTGTCCAACTCTTCACTTCACTAAGCTACTTCGATTTATTCTGCGTGTACGTGGACCTACATTTCTATGTGTGTAAAGTCTCCTACGTGTACGTGCGGCGAAAGGTGCAAAACGCGCAAAAAGAGTTAGGTTTTCGACGCGAGACAGAAGAATCGATAGCCCATAGAAATGATTTACGAGGATGCACTTGCTCCGTTCTAGCCAAGCTACAGCTCTCTCCCTCTCTCTCTACCCTCTCCTACATAACATTCTCAGCATCTCTTACAAAAAAACTTTCTCTCACTTGAATCACGACTTGTGATGTTATTTTGATAAACAAATTATCTTATTTCTATCTCTCCTTTTTTTTCTATTATTATATTTAATAATTCTATACATCGAAGGAAAAGTTTCGTCGTCGTATAAACTTTGCGACAGAGTTCACATAATTCAACGGAGTAGAGCTTTTGATTGCCAATCAGCAATTAATTCGAAAGAAAAAACTTTAAAAGTATGGGAGTTGGATGAAATTTTAGTTGACGTATGTACAAATGAATGGATGAATAAAAAAAAAAAAAGAAAAAAAACAACGAACTATTCGATAAATGTTCAACGTCGCGAATCGAAAACTCTGTTATACCTATCGGATATACTCCTACATGCATATACATACATACATATGTAGAAGACTTTACATCGCGAACGGAAAAATTGCTGACAGCGACGTATTGGATTTTTATCGGATTTCGGCCAATCAGCGGGGTCGAGACAGATGGAGTCTTCCCTGAAAACGACAAAACGTAATGTTGGATTCTAATCAAAATGTTACATTTGATACTACTTTCTTCGTTCTGTAGGTTAAATTAATCTAAGGGCATTTACAATAGTTTATTATTAAGATTGAAAAACAGAGACAAACGTTTAATTCCAGGTGCCACTTTAACGTTCGACGTTGAGCTGATCAACATCAGTGATTCGCCTCCAACCGCAAACGTCTTCAAAGAGATCGACGCTAACGACGATAAGCAACTCTCCCGCGAGGAGGTGAGAGCAATGGCAAGATCATTTGGATTTTTTTGTTCGTTTGGGTGTTGGTCGACTAACAAATTGAATCAATCCTTTTTTAACAAAATCGATCCCCCGATTCTCCCAATGTTTTATTTTATTTTGATACTTGAACTTTTGTCATTAATTATTAACAAATAGGTATATATTTTGTTGATTGATTGATACAGGTCAGTGAATATCTAAAGAAACAAATGATCGAAGCGGAACAAGGTAGTCCCGGTGACAACGAAGAAATGAAAAAGATGCTGGCCGATCATGACAAACTCGTCGAGGAGATTTTCCAGCACGAGGACAAAGATAGGAATGGTTTCATATCACACGAAGAATTTAGTGGACCTAAACACGACGAGCTTTGAAGATTTTTCAATTGTTTTCATTTCTCGAGCAACGCGCGTCTCCTCCCGAACGTCATCATCTTGTCTTCCTGAATGAATTTTTTCTCAATGATGAATTATCTTCGCATATACGAGAGAAGTCAAAAAGTGTAACGCATCATCAACCAAAAAAAAAAAGCAGACACAAATTTAAATTCCCGAAGAAATATTTGTTCGTTCCGACGTAACACGTCGCGCGACGCCTGAGAGAGACGATTCTAATCATCTAACCGTCTAAGTACATTTTTGCTCGAGTGATCGCATTACGAATATGCATATTACTTATGAATGAATAAAATAAATAAATATATATATATATATATATATATATATATATATATATATGCGTGTACGCGTGCGTGCGTGCGTGCGTTGCGTGTGAGTGAATGTACGCGCCTGTGAGTGATCAAAAGAAAGTGTCTTTTTTCTACACGATCGTAAATGTTTAGCATTAATTATATGGAACAGTAATAACGCAACAGTATATGATATATCGAACTCTATCGTCGAAAGATATCCGCAAACTGTCCACGTTTTTTCTCTTCGTTATAATTTATAACAATTTTTGTGTTTAATCGCATTTATCAAATGTTACGATTACGTTACGTCTTTTCTAATTACTTGAAAATTGATAATTAATTAAGTCATTAGAAGAAAACATATAGGATATTAAATAATATAAGCGTACAAAAATAGAAAAAACCAACTGTACACTGTACCGTCTCGTCAATTATTACACGTCATATCTCTCTATATTATACGTTGTACTTACAAATAAATTTGGAATATTTACCAATCAATTTCAAGTAGGTAGAAAAGATTTGGAGATAGCACACGATTTATATCGTGAAAGGAGTTTTCATCGTTTTTTACCGTCAAAGTTTAGCGAAGATCGAAAGTGGATAGTTCGTGGAATCGTCTGACCTTCTCCCTTAAAGTTCTCTTCGATCCATTTTCAACAGTGCACACATTATTCAATTCTTATTACACTTATGGGAAAAAAAAAAAAACAAGGGTAACAAATATCTCGAGAATGTGAAAAATAATCGAACGTGACCAATTAGGTTGCGAAGCCAAACCCCGTCGTCGCTATTATTATTGTATTGTAACAAATATGTTTTTATTATTACATTATATTGTATGTTGTTAAAGTTGGACGAAGGTTATAATAATAAATCGTGTGTCTTGAGCACAATTTGTTATATACGGTTGTACTTCTTCTTCTTCTTGCGTTCATTCCTCTTGTTATCTCTTGGCTCTTTGTAAAAATGAAAGGTGTTTAACTTACCTTATTTCCATTCGAGTGAATAAGATTGGAAATCAATGGACAAGAGATTCAATATTTTTTTCCTTTTTTATTTGAAGAGAATTTTTTACGTTGAAAGTTACAGTAATTAATGCGTACCCTAAGTACGACACGATAATGTAATTATTTTAACAATTAAATTAATTAAATTATTTCTATCACCCGATAAATCACACCGCTACAAATGTTCGTTGTAAAATTCGTATCGAAAGAAAACGTATAACAATTTTGAAAAGAGGTTCTTCTTTCTTCCTACTTTTCCACCAGGCACGCAACGAGGCACGAGATCACCCTTCTGAATTTCTCTCTTTACCTTTTTATATATATATATATTTTTTTTTCGTTCATTCTTAATCATTAAATTTTATCCATCGACCATATTATAAGCAATTTACATCGTAGCTCTGACAAGAAAAAAAAGTGAGAAAAACGTTGAACTAGCACAGGCACGAATAACTTACCCTGTTACGGCTATAACCAATGGCATAAGAATATAAATACGATATTATATATATATACGTATATATTTCTCGTAAAAGAGTATCAATTAGTATCGTTTACATCCGTCACCCTATCTTTCTTTTACCAAAAGCAATTCTTTCAGAGAAAATATGTATGTTAATGATCCAAGAGACATCATTTTTCTTTTTTTTTTTCTTTCATTTGAATAAATTGTAAAAGACAAATTTAAAAAAAAAAAAGAAACCCTTTTTCATTTGTAAAATTTCACTCGAGACTGCAGAGATTATCATCATTCTACATACGTAAAATTCATATGTATCGCGTGCGTGCGGTGGTTACGCGTGGTTACAAATAATAATTTCTTAAAAAGTGATTCGATTTAACGCGACGACGACGTTAAATAAGTAACCGTACCGCACAAAATAAGACGAAAATTGTAAAGAAAAAGCTAGGAGAAAAAAAAGACAACAAAAACAAAAAAAAAAGAATAAAAGTATATAAAAACGAAACAAAAAGGAAAAATATTGGAGAGTTTTAAAAGACCGTTTGATATACGGGTTTGATAGAGAGATTTGGCAAGAGTATGTGTGTCATCATAAAGATATAATTAATTGAAAGTTATGCTCTGCATGGAGGAGAGTTGCTTTTCTTCTTGTCATCCAGTTTGTCGTCGTTCTTTTCCATTTCTTTCCGAACATTGAGCGAGCAGCCAAGAATCTTCGTGAGAAACAAGATTTACATAGCATTTTGCTCAGAGACCTTTCCTCCCCCCCCCCCACGCACGCATGTTTCCTTCGAATAAGAAAATTTCCATCAGGGGTTGCTTGGGAGAGAGAAGGGTGGATAATATCACAGTCAATAGCCCTTGATGTAGGCGGCGATGTGTTTCTTTTCCTCTTCCGAGAGACCGTTCTTCAAGGTTCTACGCACTGAAAAAGAAATCCCTTCAAGATACTTAAAAGCGCGTTTACCTACGTACGTATACATCTTACATATATACATACATACACGTTAAGTAGAAAAAGTATTGTCATAATCTCAGAGTTTTTTTTTTTATATGGTGTCTCGTTGACATTATCATTTTTTCTAAATTCTTTTTACAATTAGAACAGATTATGTCAATATTTTGTCTCCAACAAACATTTCATTTGATTGATTATTTTCCATACAAATCTAAATTGCCATGCTTCGTTTCTATTTCACAGCATTCTAAGAAGCTTAAAAAATAACATGCCAATTAATCACATCTGGTATAAATGAATGAAAAAGTCGTTTCTGACGTGCTCGCATTATCCGCAAAAAAAAAAGTTTCATACTTTAATATTTATTTTATCGACCAAAAGGAAAAGATGATCGTCGTTTATTTTCATCCTTTCTTCTACGATAAGACGTCGTTTCGTGCGGATCTTAATCAGAAGCAGTCATTATCCCAAGGTGCAATCTTCTTCCAAAAAGAGTTAAAAGCGAGGAAGAAAAAAAGCCGATTCGTGGCTCATTTAAATGTTAAATACGACGAAACGATGAGTAGAAGCGCGCGCGCCAGGATTCTCCCTCGTTTCAATGGACAAAAAAAAATCAAAAGAGAAGAAGAAAATAGTCAAAGCGACGACGAAAAAATAATAGAACAAAAAAGAAAAAATGAATGGTTTTAGTAAGAGAGAAAAATCCTAGAATGGCTATCGAGTAATCACTGGCTTCCTCCTTTTTCTTACAACCATTAATCCAATTTATTGGATCCTTTTTTGCCATTGTTCTCGCGTAAAAATATTTTCTTTGACATTTTTAATCAATAAGAAGGAGATAACGTTAAAGAGATCATTGATTTTTATTTTTCTTTTCATCTGGCGACACATTATCAATTTTGTATTCGATTAATAGATAGAATCTCGCTCGGTTCTCGTAAAGTTATTTCAAGTAAAAAATATGTATGAGTGGACACACAACGAAAGAGTATCCGATTAAAATTAACTTAGATTTCTTTTATCTACCGGTAACACGAAGCTATTTTTGTTCTTTTTTTATCATTTTCGTTCCTCTCTGTCGCATTTTCCCCATCGAGTCTTAACAAAAGGAGATAAAACCGTAAGGTCCATTGTTCCGATAACAAGGTAGAAAAAGAGACTTCTTGGTAATAAAATCGTTTTATCGAGTAGCGCAGAGGGAAGCAGAGGGAACGTCGAATTTTCTAAGATCGTCTAAAAGAAAGACATCATTTGGTCTTCCTTCGATCGCTAAATCTCTTCCATTTGAACGTGTTTTTCTTTTTTTCTTTTTTTTTTCATGGAAAAGTATTTACTTAAAAGTTAACTTATGTATAGTTAATCAATTTCAAACGTATCAATTTGCATGCCAAGCAAGAAACGAAAAACAGAACGGGGGACAAATCTAAAGGCGAGAAAAGGCAAGGCGGCGAACCTTTATGCGACGAAAGGTGATCCCTTTAGGGTTGATACCCTTCCGGCGTGGTGTTGTTCTCTCGTGTGCGCGATCGCTTCACTGTCGGGCAGAAAAAAAAGAAGGCAAGAACGCTAGGCCAAAATGTTAGCAACCGTCACCGGTAATGACTATTAAATTATTATCACCACACCCCCTTTAACTAAACAGATGAAAACTCTTCCACTCGCTTGCAGGACCAATCGATCATCTCGAAAAGCGGCAAAAGGAAAGGAAAGGAGTATTCTTCCTTTTTTTTTTTTTTTTGAATTTATTGTATCGAGAAAGATGGAGAAGAAATTTAATACGTGTTTGCACTAACGATAACGCGAAAGAATGGCTCCCAGTCACGTTGCCGAGTACACGAGCTTATCATAAATATATCAAGGAAGCGGGGGAGACGGAGGGGTAGAGGGGGCGAACAGAAAGAGAGAAAGACGAACGATTCTCTACGACCAATGAGCGGATTACACCGAGATTCGCGTACAAACTCCCCAACGAAGGATTATTCCGTACGTTCGATGTAGTACCCCTATACCGATCGATTACAAAAAAGGATACGCGAAAGGCTCTTTCGTTCGGCGAGTACCAACCGGAAAAAGCCCGAGTAACAACGAAGCCGAGCACCAACGAAGCCGAGCACACCGAGTCTTTCCATAATCCCCATACATTATGCAACGACATCGCTCCGGATCGTTCTTCTTATCGCTTACTCTCCTTCTCCATTCTTCTCGCTATTGTTTTTCCTCTTCTTCTTCGAATAAAGATGCACTGTTCGATCATTTTTCGACTCCGAACACGATTATCAATACGAATATAAATATTCAATTAACGCGTGATTATGCTACATAGAATGTAGGTAGAGATGAAAGAGAGAAAAAGAAAGAGATGTACGTAGGATGAAATAACTGTGCTGTAAAGGTGCATGAAAACGCAGGAAAGATCAAAAAGGGCGACGAATTTGCGTTGGCACTCGATTTTGAACGAACTTCCACGTTTATCGATCGTTCCTCATGAACTATAAACGTGGAAGATAGATAAAAAAAAAAAATAAAGTCACAGAGTGGAGGTGCAGGGTGCGGGGATCACACTTACAAGACTTACGATCGGCGTGTCTCGTCCTTTTACGTTCCCTTGGTGTTGTCCTCGTAGCTGGTGTCTTCGTTGCAGTCTTTACGAGAGATTCTAAAAGTTCGTCATCGCCGTCGGTGAGATTACCGTTAGTACCTTCGTCTCTTAGCAAAGGTCCCAGCGTAGTTCGTCCTAAGATCAAATCAAATGTTTTTTTTTTTTTTTTTTCTTATAAACTTTGAATAATTCTAAATGGATGACAGAAACGACGTTGAGTTAACAAAGTCAAACGACCGAGCCGCTATTCTTAAATCTTTTCTCTGGAGATCCGACTCTTTAAGATGTCAACATTTATCTGCTCTAACGACGGTATTAAGGTAAAAAAGGTTTACGAAAATAAAGAGTCATTCTCGCTTTTTCTTCTTGTCTCCAAAGATATAAACGTGACAAGTGTATGTTTCTTTTATATAAATAGTGTCAAGCTATGTGTCTGAGATAAATCTTAGAAAAAAGATCAAAATGTTTTTTCCTAACTTTCGATCCAAACATTTTTCTTCGAAAATATAAACGTTAAAAGAAGCTTACCGTCCTTTCTTTGCCTTCGCCAGGGTAGCGTACCATGAATACTTTCAACGTCGGAAATGTCGCTTCCTAGGAGTTGCCTCAGCTCGGCATCCGCTCGATCCTCTTTCGTCCTAAACTTACCAACCTGAAGGAAAAAAAAAACAAAAGAAAATTACAAAATTACAAAAAATGAAAAATTGTAAATTTAGTTGATATTCTCACCTCGGTGATCATCTTTCCTCTCGTCTTATTTCTCTCTCGATGATTGGCTTTCTTCTCGAGCTGCTGTATTACCCGTTCTCGGGTCGTTCTATACTCGAGAGCAAATTCCGATACTATCCTACAAAATTCGTTTGGCTTGGTGTCCTGTACTCTATGGAGCGGTATACCAAGCCACAGTATGAACTTGTGAAATCGATTTATGATACGCCTGTGAACGATACCCAGGACTATTATCCTTTCCGCGCAGTCGGCCAGAAAGTCGGACATCCTGGAATGTACGTAACGAAGCAACGGAAAACATATCAGAAATCGTCCCAAGTAACTATGTATGTATCGGACAAATCATTTTCGATGTCGAAAAAGAAATTTATGAAAGAAGTTTCAAGACAGACAGAGAGAGAGAGAGAGAGAGAGAGAGAGAGAGAAAGAGAGAGATTAAACGAGCGAGCACAGAACCGAAAGTGAATTGCGGTTTTACTAAGGATGTCAAGGACGAGTGTTTTTCATGTGCAGCCAACCGATAAACTCGACGCCTTGCTGCTTCGTAAACGAAAGTGAAAAAACTTAGGGGGAAGACGTATCTTCTACTTTAATAGATATAATATATGAGAAATGAAATAAAGAAGAAAAAGAGAGAAAGATTAATAATGAACGTGTATAGTTGGTCGTCTACTACTACTCACTTGACTTTCATCATCGTCGAACCATCGTGTTTGGCGATTAATTTCAAATGATCCCACGACGCCTTGCACTCATTTTCAAGTTTGCCAATATTCGCGGCCAACTCGTCAAAGTCGATCTTCGAAGCCCGTGTCACTGCACCGATCTGAAATTTTGTTCAAACAAATTCGATATCTTTTTCTTGTTCTCTTTGCTCAAATATACTCGTATATATACATATATTTAACAAATTTTTCTTCACTGGAGAACTATTGGAAAGTTGGTATCGCGTAAATATCGCTCGATTAGCCCATGCGCGACCAAGCAAAAGCAAACGCAAACTTGACTGTTCTCTCTCTCTTTCTCTCCCCTTACCTCGGAGTAGAGGTCCGTGGAATCCGGAAACTTTTCCATCACCATATAGCAGAGGTGATGAAGTAGCGAGTGCTTGTGAACGGTGTCCTTTACTTCAGGTACTTTGGCAAGGTATTCCAGTTGAAAGCCCTTCACCTGAAAAAGACAACAAAAAGGCATTAGTTTCTACTAGATATTCTTTATATTATTCTCTCCCATGCACTTTTAGTTACTTCGATCGAACCTTTAACAAAAGGGATAAAAGATAAATGCAAGGAAGGATTTTCTATCGGCGTTCGAGTGCATAAGAAATCTTTGATTGCCATCGACGCCGTTATTGGAATTCGAATCGACTCTTGATGATTTTTACCGGACGAATTAAACGGATGTCATTTGGCCGGAGTTTAATACCCACCTCGTTTCCGTTGAGGAATATCCCTATCGAAAGGAGCGTGCTCAGAATCCCACGAAAGGTTTTATTCACTCGCAGCGTCTCCATTCCCTGCTTGAGATCCATCAAAGGGTCCGCAATTTCCTGAAGTCACAAAGGTACGCGGTCGCGATTATCATCTTTTTTTCTTATTCTTTTTTTTCCTCTTTTCTTTGACATATTTTTCATTCAATGACATATTTTATATTCAAATATAAATATAATTTTGTAATAATAATAATCGATGTTAATTTAAGTTGAAAAATAAGTCGAATAAGTTGGTCGAATATATTGGCAAAGAAAAGAATTCAAAGGGGGAGAGAAACCAAGGGAGATTTGATCTCACGATCGATCGGAACACGCGTGTGAGAAAAGGTGAAATTACGTGGTCAACTATTTGACGCTTCAACGCGCACAAATGCTTTCCTGGGAAGTTCACGGAAGTATGAACAAAATAGATATCGACACCGAACGATTCTTATTATCCTAGGAAATTTCCAAGGACCTCTCTGATATTTGCCGTCAACAAAAGCAAATAACTACCATCAAATAAAATTGTTAAATGTAGATTTAATCAAATAACAACAAAAAATGTCTACTCACCTTTTCAGAATTTTCAAAGTCCAACTTAAATGCCCAGAGCTTCAATCTCGCTGGCAATTCCGATATCGATGCCAATGTGAGAAGAAACTGTTCTGCCGATCCCAAAGGAAGATCGGGATTCGCAGCTTGTGCCTCTTGTATCCTCGATCTTTCTTCTTCCGTCGGTAGCATCGTCAAAAGTTTCTATCGCGTAGAGTACCGCAAAAAGGGAATAATATGTGGACAAGGGAATGGGACAAACGAAAGAAACGAATAAATTATAAATTAGACGAAAAATCAGAAGAACAATTGAAAAATTAGAATTTGAGATGTGTGACAAATTAATAAGGAGCAAGATCGTTTAAATAAAAGTTTAATTCAACCTTCCGCAACCTCTCCGTAAATGTAAGTAAATGAAAAATGAAATGAAACTTAGGACAAGAATAAAGTGGATCGATCGGATTGAGTTTATATAAATTGAGTTTCAACCAGAGAATAGTAATTCGGGTAATTTAGTAGTTTGGTGACATGTCACAGATTGATAGAGAGGGGAAGCTAAAAAAAAAACTGAAATCTTACCTCGATACCTTCTCTGTTCATAATGGTCGCATCCATCTTTAAAATGGCTGTTTTGATGGATCTCGGTGGTGGCAATTTGGTCATGCCGATATTGATCGCGTTTGATCTTTTGTGGTCGAGTACGATGATTTCTTTGTTCTTGTTCATTTCTTGTTGTTTCTATTCGATCAAACAGAAGGCATAAACGTTTGTTTAGAGAGAATAAACGACGATCGGTTTTGATTGCAGCTTGTAATTCGAATTTGTTAGCTCAATCGATCGATGAACTTGTAACGCGAAACGAGTTACAAGTTGGTTGGTTTCATTTACGATTAGTAATGATTACACAATAAAAACCAAGAAAAAAATAAACGATTACGTGGCAGTTGACATTAGTCGATAATGGACTATTTAATATAGAATGATGACAAATCTAACGAGAAAAGAAAGAAAGAATTTTGACTAAAAGTCAAGAATTTAAATAGAAACGATCGCTTCAAGCAAAAGATTACGAAGCATTTTATTAAAGTTCTTACTCTATTCTTTATCTTTCTTTTCCTCTTTCCTTTTTCTTTTATGAAGCCAAAGTGCACTAAATTACGAGAAAGAACCGGATAAAAGAAAAAAAAATAGAAAATTACTGACAAATCTTTATCCGACGATGAATGAAAATAAAATAAAAAAAAAAGGAAGAATATAAACGTGCCAAGTTTAACATTATTACCTTAAATAGTAAAATTCGTGAATGATCTCATGAATGGAGGATACGAATATAGAAAATGTGCATTTACATAAAACGTTTGGAAATAATGTAGAAGAAGAAGAAAAAAAAACAAAACAAAAAGAGAGAGATGAAAAGAAAATCATTTGGTTAGAAAAGCCACACTTTAGAAAAGTTAAGAAATGAAGACTCACCTCCTGTCAAATTCCAGCATGCCATTTTGTTCATTTTTCGTGCGAGCACCAACAATATTGCAAAGAATACAAGAAGAGATTAGTCGTTTTGCGGTAAACCGTCACCACCCAACCACCATCCGTCATAATTATCGTACGTGATTATTATCGTCACGCGATCTCGTTACAACTAAAACTGGTACTACTATTTTCTCTGAGAGATCTTTGAGACTTCTTCTCTTATCGTAGCAAACGTATGTACTGAGCGACGTTAAGTGCATTTTCGACATTTTACGTGGCAGAACGGATCGTACACACGTATTTGTGTGTGCTTCGCAAACCGGTTAATCTTCCAAAGGAATGAGACCGTTTAACGTATTTACGCTTCAAATTTCTTTAACTCGAACGTTCCAACTTAGTTCCCTTTTACTATACGTGTACTTACGCTCACACAGAGAAACTATATATATATATATATATACCTATGTATTGTACAAACGTGGTCCGGATGAAAAACATTCAATTTTCTTTTCTTTTCACTTTCGACAATTTACTATTTAACTATTAGAAAAAAAAAAAAAAATACCTGTTTAAAGAATTCGCAAAAAACAAACTACACTAATTCTTTTTTATTCGCACCTTCGTGTTTTCCCTTCATTTTCACTATTTTTACTAAATTCTCATCAGACTTTCTGCATTGTGTTAATTATTACCGAGCTTCCGAGCGTGCGTATATACGTTCAGAGATAGAAAAGAGAAATAATGCAGACGAAAAGCAAAAAAGGAAAATAGAAAAAGATAAAGATATGGGGGGTGGGAAAAAAAAAAGAAAGAAAAAAATAATGCGATAATTTTCGCGAATTTGCAAGGCCATGTAAAACGACGTTAAATTTGGTCTTTAGATAATTACACTTGTAATTTGTCGCGTGTCAGCGCAATTCTGTACTAAATTTTCATTACAATACCACAAAGCTATTTTAACAATAGTTCAGCGTTTTGATATGTTTTTTTTTTTTTTTCCCCCGAATGAAAGAAATAATTCGAGGCAAACGAGAGAGATTCGTTAAAGCAAAGAAAAAGAAAGAAAGAAAAGGAAAAAAAAGATAATAGATCGTCCTTATTTTGCAAGAGAAAAAAGATAATAAAAGTCTTTGGAATACGACGACTTAGAATGTGACAAATCGTTGGTCCGATCAATTGAGTAGTATTTTAGATTAGAAATAGTTGCTCTCTTACCTTGGTGATAAGATCCTTGGCTCTGCTCTCGAAAAGGTGTTCGAGTTTCTGCGTGTCAATGGGCACTGGCGAGAGCTCGTCCCAAATCATCTTGTTCTTGTCCAATCTCGAGAGGATGATGGGATCGTCCCTGACCTCTTTCCAGAACAGTTTCACAGTCTTTTTGCTCTTTTTTATGGTCAAGGTCGAAGCCGGAGAATTTAAAGGTGGACTTCTTAAAGAATTTGTTGGATCGTTGTTCATCGATGATCTCGTGGATTTCAGATTGAGAGGCGAAAAAAGAGGCGGTGGAAGATGAGGTAAAGGTGGTGGTGGTTTGGCACTAGAACTCGGCGGGGGCAACATCGAAGGAGGTGGAACTGGTACCATCGGTGGTGGAGGAGGTGGAACGCCGTTCGTCACGTTTACCGGTCCCAAAACGTCGATTTCATCCTCCGAATTTAGATCCGTAAAGTCAAGGTCGCACAGAGCCAACGGTCTTTTTAACTTTTTTACGAGTTCCTCCCAGTGCAACTCATTCTCCGATTTCTTCACTTCCTGCACCTTGAGCAAATTCTCGCCTGTCGGTGATTTCAATACGTCAGCCTTGGACTTTGATTTGGCCAATCCCTCTTTAGCCTTCGAGATCAAGCCGCTCATATCTCCTATCCTGAAAAAAAAAAAAGACGAAGGAACGATCGAACGAACGAACGAACGATAAAATGGTCCAAATAATTAATGCTTAACACACTTTTTATCGTCTCTTACCTGGAAACCTTTTCATCGACAGGACTGCTCGGTATGAGATTCTGTGCCGTTAATTTCTGCGTTAGATCTTTGACGGTACCTTCTCGTTTCAATTGTAAAACCACTCGACGATTCTCGTCGTCATCGGTATTATTACCCTCGTCGCACTCGACACCCTCGTCAGGACTCTTACCGTACCAAGGCTTTTTCTCCTCCGAGTCGAGCTTATTCGCGGCGTTCATTAGCGGTGTTAAATCCTTTCTGCTATTCGTTCGGGAAAGTTTGTTAGATGGAGAGTCAGTTTTCCTTTCGTACGAGGACGTGCCATTCGGATGATATCGCAAACCATTCGACGAGAAGGAAGCTTAAATTTGAGCATACGTTTGTCCAAAGACGAAATATATAAATGATAATAGCAATTGTTTGTGTATTACTTACTGTCCTGATCGTCCGAATGGTCAACGGAAGCTCTCATATTCGCGGTAGCCTCTTGTTGCTCCCTGATAAAACTCCTTTGCCTCTCCGCTCGTTCTCTTCTACGTCTCAAAGCTGGTGTTACGCCAACGTCGACTGGAACACGCGACATATCATTTTCCTCCCTAATCTCTCGCTTACGACGTCTAATGCTTCATCATATAATGCATGAATTCGTTTCTGGTAGGCGTAGAGATTCCTATTCTCGTCCGATTTCTTTCAATTATCTTAAACGATTCGATAATAACGAAGAAGAAATTCGAAATCTTTTGCGATCGAGATAGTTAGTTAATCAGCTAGGTCACCTTTGTTCTCCTTATAACTGCCATTGAGTTGAACTTCCCCGAGATGTCCTTGAGAACTTTGAGAGCTACTCGACTCGTCATCGTCATCGGGCAGACTCGAATTCAAAGTGTTGTTCAGGGAGCTAAGTCCCAAAGAATGGTTCGAGCGTGGACTTAAACGAGCGTTCAAGGACATCGAAAGCGGCGACGTGCCAGTCGAGTGCCTACGGGACTTTCGACGCTCGTGAGAATCCACCAGAGACTTCCGGTTGCGTAGAGTTTTCCTGCGAAATTCAGTCAAACAACTTTCTGTAATTTACTACGATGTCGACGTTTATTTCGTTCGTAAAAAAAACACCACCTAATGGTAAGTAGAAATATTTCGTACCTGATATTATCGTCGAGCTGACGAATTGGCGATCCTCGGTCGTTGCCATCTTCGTGTTGGAGTACAGCTTCGTAAATGTGAAACTGTCTAAGAAGATCGAGATCTGTTCCTTGTTTGGACAAATATCTTTGAATAATACCCTCAATTCCTTGCTCCTCGAGACAGTCCACTTGATCATAGTAAGTGTCTTGATCCGGAATACCGTTCAAGCACTTATTGACCAAGGTCGTTGCGTATATTAAAAGTTCCGTGTCAGCGGCATCGTAATCCTTCAAAAGCTTCATTACGTTCGTCCATGGTATCATACCTCTTGATGTGTCTACCGAACGTACAGCTCGAACGAGCAACAAACTGTTGGTTTCCACGTACTCGACGAAGACCAGCAATAATTTCAGAGCCGTCTTTACGACCAACCGAAAGCGACTTGCTATAAGGGTGTATAACCATTGTACCGTCTGACCATGTTCTATCACGCCATTCATGCCATCCACGTAGAGCATCACCTGACCGAGAGCTGTTTGGATCAAACATTTCGTCATTTTATAGTCTATATTATTTCCAAACGGAAATCATTTAAAAAGCAACGAAACAAGTAAATTGTTAAATGCAACAATTGTATTATACACAGAATATTTGGGCAAGCTACATAGGTTCGTTCGTGACGATAATGACAATATAATCGTAAAACGATTGGAGAGAATTGAGCGAGAGGCGCCGAAGTGGTAGGAGGACTGTATAGGACTGCATTAATCCGCTCGTTATCATTACGCAAAGCCATAAGTTACGCCGCAAAATCTAATTAAACGGTATGGACATAATATATGCAGGTATACACAGAGAGATAGCGAGGTCGTTGCAATCATCCGTTTTCCGAAGGTTCATTTCTGCTTACTATACGATATTATACCTCGACTATATTATAGTCGACGAACTAAAAGGGTGATGTGGTAGGTGCAGGAAACACGTTGCAGGTATAATAAATCGCGACGCACTCTCGCATCTAATTAGAGATTTGGTGAAAACGCGTTACGTCCATTAGTTTTGACTCGTAATAGCGTGGAAACATTAAAGCTCTCTTGATAAGTGTTTCTGCAAAAATAATATTATGCCAATCGTGCGACGCAAAAGGCTATATCCTATAAAAAAGGTCAATCCGTTTTGTAATTTGCAATCCCGTTATCCGCGCTCGGTCAATAGAAAGCTGGATGCGAGAGGACATCCAATCCAATCCAATCCCAGTGTTATACGCAAAATAAAGATAGAGAAAATCGTCCCACGACGATTAGTTCTATTGCAATGGAAATGAACGATTAATTGTTCGATAAATGAGATTAAATAGGAAAGAAAAAATTCAGCGAAGTGTGAAATAAGCCTCGCCTTGCGCTTTTCAATGATCGTTAGTTTCGGTGTCAAGTTCGCTTGCGTGCTGCCAAAAGCCGCTTCCACAACGATAGGTAAAACATTTAATCGCTCGTTTGTTCTCTACGCGAGACTTAACTGCTACATAATTTAGGGGAAACAGGTGTTTTACGTTTGCCCATATTTCATTATCTCCTTTTATTCTTGCGAGTAATGGAATCGATGACGTATTACGATCGATATTTTCAAAATGAAACATCAATATCTCCTTAAGTTTGCAATTTAAAATCACTTACAAGGATTTCCTTTTATTCTCAAATTAACCGTGTTCCACTGGCTATACGTTGAATTAAGTTGTCGCATCGCGTTAATACTTTTCTATTAAATACTTCAATCATCGTCATCATCAATTTTTTATGTTTTAATTTCAATATTCTTGTAAAACTGTATCATTAGCGATCATTTTCTACCCGCATAATCCCCCCCTTCCTTAATTATGGATTGCGCATTAAAATCTCAATGACATTTACTTTTCGCAGATGCAAATAAAAGAAATGAAAAGATATAAACGTCTTAAGATCAATCAAGTGTATACTTTAATGTCGAGTGAAAAAAAAATAAGAAAGTAAGTTTCGATGAGACTATTTCGTTTCTTTTATATTTTGTTTGAATCGTTTGCTCTTCTTTCATTTGGTTATATTAAATCGATGAATCGATCGACGGATCAAACACGAAACTTTGAAAGAAAGTTTAATGTGCCGCACGAAAGACGATATCAAAGAACGTATTCATAGTTTCGATACAGCGCACATCGAACTTCCATCTTTTACGAGTTTCGCATTGCGGTAAAGAAGTTTTTCTTCTTTGAAAAACTTTTCCATCTTCGGAAGAAGGCGGAAAGGAACTTTGTTCGGGCAAAAAGATTTCTATTATTTTATCGACATTTATGATAATTCACTGGGGCTTACGGAATGACCCTTAACAAAGTCTACCCTGCTCGTGCTTATACAATATCGAACTATTCGAGGAAAAAAAAAGTAAGAATTCTTTTGGATTAGAGTTAAAGAATAATTATCCTCGAAGTTGCCTCGTTATTTATCAAGTATCAGGAATTTTTTGTCTTAAACCTACTCACCTCGTAGTATATAATTTTGATAATTCTGATCGGCCTCGCTGCCGACCTTGATGAGGCAAGCCAATCCATCGTTTTGCACGAACTCGTGCACCAGGTCTTTGTCCTCCTGTAAAATCAATTGTCTCGATGATAAATGCATCATCATAAGTGCAATTTTATTCTATTTATTTTTCAGGATAACATAATATAATCGCGGTAGATCGAATTTTGAGAAAGTAATTGTTCGTGGAAAAAATAGAAAAGAATATTCCCACATGTTGGGATACATGGAACGTTGAAATAAACTAAAGAGAGAGCAAATAAGAAAGAAGAAAGACGCGTGGAAGATCTCGCAAATATTTACACGGCAAGCGAGTAGCTTCGTGCCAAAATAGTCGTCTTCTCTTTCGTTTTGTATTACGCGTTGGAAAATAGCAAAGCTACCTGAAAGATCTGCTTGAGAGAAAAGAGAGCTCTTCGTAGTTCGCGACCCTCGCTGTTCAGCAATTTTTCTGCAACAAACATAGACAAATATATATTATACATAAATACTTGTGTTCACGTAATACAATAATTCTACGTTTATTTATAGGAGAATAGAGAGAGAAAAAGAAGAAATAATTAATGGGATTATAAGAGATGGAAGAAAAATTGACGATTATTTTCTATTACTATTTGATCGAATTGGAAACGAGAAAGAAACCAATTTTGTTGGCAAAATGTTCGTTCGAAAAGTACCAAAGTAATGCAGATGATTTTTATTTTTCTTTTTTTATTGGAACTTCCTGCGGGAAAAAAAAAGAAAAATGAGAAAATATGTTTAAATTTAAAAACGAATTTCACGTTTCATTTCCTGTCTCGAATAAAAATCACGAATGTAGATATAGGGAAGAATTGGAGCTTGAGCCCTTCTCTCGCAGCATGGCTTTTCTTGTTTTCAAACGAACACTAGGCTAGCAATTAGCGCACGACTGCTAATTTCTTCCGTAAAATTTTCGTCGTCTCTCATTCGCTGGCTGGCTGGATGGATGGATGGATGGATGGATGGATGGATGGATACCTGCAAGCGCTCTCTCGGTCCTTTTATTTCTTTCTCTTTCCCTCTCTCTCTCTCTCTCTTTCCTCTTTCACGACTGTATTACTAACAATTGAATTCCGTTTGGCGAGCGGTGGAATGGAAAATTCAATTTCCCGAACCCCGATGAGAGAGAGGAGCAGAGATGCAATTTCGAGTGGAAAAAAGTTTACAGAAATAGACGCCTGCCTACCTTTTCTTCTTAAAAACCAAAAAAAAAAAAAAAGATAAAGGATACAAATTCGACATTTTTCCCGAAATGTTTAAACAATAGACGATGGAGGGGGGGGGAATAATATGAAAGATTATACTTGATATCAATGACAAAAAATGAGGTTAAGAGGTTACAGATGTTCTCTGGCGAAACTTGACTTTAAACAAGAGATAAAGAACGGAAAATAACGAGCATTTGAGGAGAGATAACAAAACAAAACAAAAAAAAACGGAGAGAAGAAATTACGTTAAGTGAACGTTGAAAAATGAAAAAATCTATTCGCCGTGCGCAAAGTTAATAAGTCTATAATCACGAATCAACCAGGAAGAAGGAAGTAATTAAGTAATCCTTTAGAGAGAAAGACGAAGAAGAGAACTCTCGTGTTACGTTCTACTACGATTGAAATTTTCTATAGAAATAACTTCGAAATTACTTGGATAAATAGAAAATTGGATAATATTTAAAGCACAATGTTAATCTAATATAGTAGTTGTTCCCGATAGTTGGTACATTGGTAATATCGTGGGTGAAAGACTCACGACCATGAACACCAAGAAGACCATGAACAACACGAGCCATCTTCCGTTACATCTTTCCGTTTGTTCGATTTGTAGCTCGTCTCTTAACGAGACGAATTCGCGAGTTATTTCGTGGTAAAGGAGGTCCAGGCGACCGCATAAACGCCGACTATCACGCGATCTTCAAATGCATAATGCATGTCGGTTGGAGAAGGGAGTCGAAGGGAGCCGAAGGAAGGCGAAGGGAGAACGAAGGAAAGGAGGGGACTGCGAGCGAAGGTAATTAGGAACTCGCTGCAGGAGCCAGCGAGGGTGTGCGAGAGAGACGGAAAGATCTAAGAATAGCGGTCCCAAGGCCCCGAGGCCCTTGGCCCCCGCCATAATCAGCGCCCATATAAGCAAAACTTCCTCTCGCTCAAACAAGTTTACCGGCTTGTAACGCGCCATTGTTACTCGCGCCATTGCTCTTTTCCCTCTCTTACTTTTTCTTTTATACTTTTCTATTTATTTTTCTAGCTCTCTTTTCTTATATTTCTTTTTTGGAAACCAACTTGAAAGGCTTTTCATTGCAATTTCATAGATAAACAATCGGAAGAATACTGACTTAGACGGCATTTCGATTATTTCAAAGATTTTCTATTTTTCTTTTGAAGAAAAATAATTGCAATTAGCGTGAACATTTGTGAATTCGACTAGAAGAACTTGCTGAGATAGCGCGAAATCTGATTCCGTCTGTCGCCTGATACGCTCGATCGGAGTTCCAACGCTATGACGCGACGTATGATCAAATTCTTATTAAAAACATTTTGAAGGATAATAAAAAAAAAGTAATTAATTTATAGCGCGACTCTGTATAAATTTATCTATAAGAAAGATGTTTCACGTATATATTGTATGCAATAGATTTCTTTTTCCTTTCATGAGTTTATATCGGTCGTTCTCTCTCTCTCTCTCTCTCTCTCTCTCTCTCTACACATTGTATACGATTTATATACGAAAATGCAAAGGTGGGTAAAAAGGAAGTTGAAAAAAGAAAAGGAGATAGAGAGAGAGGGAGAGAGGAAGAAAGACGAAAACCAGACGGGTTTTGCAGGTACCGAAAATACATGGAGAACCGTTAAAATATGTAAAACGGTGTAGGGTCCTCTCTTCGTCTTCCGCTTCTCCTCCTGCCCTTTTCGTCCCTTTTACTCTTTTCTTCTTTCTTCTCGTTCCTTTGCAGATCTTCGATCATCTCCTCCAGCGACAGTACCAAGAGTTCAACGAACGAGAACGACCCACAGGTGAATTCGACGAAGATATTACGAAGGTACCTATATCGTTCCTCTTTAAATACAAATACAAACGATAACACACAACAAATACACAAGCAACGATATTTCAATCGACTATCGATCGATCCGATTTTAAAAGACTAAAAACAAACAAAAAGAAGATGGGAAAAAAATGAAGTAGGGCGAGGATCGAGAAGAAGATCGGACAGGTGGTGTTCGACCAAGTGGATCGTGAGACCGAATAAAAGATTTTAATCAAGGATCTGCGAGTAAAATACTCACCTATGATGGTGTGAACCCTCACAGAAAGCTGAGTCCTGAGAACGATTGAGTTCTTCCGGCTGCAACAAATCAAAAGAGGATTGCTCGATTAACGTATAATACTTGTGCACACACACACACACTCACTTACGCGTATACAAAATAAAACGTAGGCTGCACAGAACATAAATATTGATAAAGCTACGCGTAACCGACATCCTATTGACCCGGTGATACGGTGATTCCGTTCGCGTTAATTTTAGCTTACCGTGTGCCAATTAATCTTCTTTGACCGATCCTAATTACTCCATTATACATACAATACAAACATGTATAATATACATATGCTCGGGAACGAGACGAATAAAATCCTTTTTTATTACAATACACACAAACCGTTTACACTACGAGTGTCTACACTTTTCCTATAAATTGGGTTAAAGTGGTATAGACGGTAAACTCTCTTTCTTTTTCTCTTCTTTTTCTTTCTATCCTTCTCTCGTGTCGCCTTGGATAAGCATGCGGTGCGAACTTAAAGGCCCTGCGAACCTTCCCACGCCAAGCGTCCCTGAGAAAGCACGACGACAGTGTAGACAATGGATTTGAGAAGGAAAAAAGGGAGAAAGAAGAAGAAGAAGAACAACAAGGGAGGAGGAGGAGGAGGAGGAGGAGAAGAAGAAGGAGAAGAAGAAATAGAAGAGACGAAAAAGGATTATGCATCTAACATCGAAAATCCAACGTGTTAGAAGCACAAACTTGAAAATGCCGGAGTACTCGAGCGTTAATATTTCCGCCGGGGTAAATAAGGGAGAGATAGATCGAGATATACCAAGGACTTCTTTTCCCACGGATATATATATATGCTATATGGATATATATATATATATATATATGCTATCATTTATTTCTATTTCCTTTTAATCGACGTCCATAAACTTCAAACGTTCATTTTTAAATTTCATAGTAGGAAAATAAAAAGGAGAATGATCGGTGCATTTGAAATCTTTTATATCGAGCCAAAGATCAGCAAAAGCGTATTCTATTGCTCGAAATTAGATCGAAAAGATTTCAAGAATATTCGCATTTTTCGTTGCAGGAAAGTACCGTGCCAATATCAACTTGGCAAACTATCTTGCACCGTTATCATCGACTAAATATAATATATCGTGAAAAAAGATATTGTTCCAGCATCTTTTTTAAAAAGGTAGAAAATATCGATCGAAAATACGAGAGTTCTGGTAACCTGTTAACTAACAGATTCGATATTTATGAGAGATTTTCGCATCGCTGCTATGATTAATGACGAAAATGAAACCTTTTTGGTCGACCCTTTGGTCGATTACGCCTACGTCAAAGAAATCGCATCATCCTATCGTTTTTCAACGAATCATTATTCTTCCTTTTTTTATCGGGATAAAAAGAAAATGATTGCGAAAGGCAAGCCTTCTCGCTCGACCACCTCCGAGCAGAAAAACTCGAAAGACATTATGCGAGTTACAAGGCGAAACAACAAAGGACGGAAATAGACGTGCGTTTGCGAGAACCTGCCAAAACTTGACTCGATAATAAGTCACGTGAGTAGACAATTTGCGAGAATCCCTACAAAAGGAGCACAAACCGTGCGCGTTGGTATTATTCACTCTTTTACGAAACTACTTTTCAAGAGCTATCCGAGCAGTGTACGCGGACTTTTTTAATTACGTAAGCGACGTATAGGAGGAGAGTGGCGAGCTTAAGGTCAACCAGAGAGAGTCATAAATCACTTAAGAATTTACTCCAATGTGTCCTCCCTGTATTTAAATCGAACGACAACGAAACCACCATCGAATGAAATAGAAACAAATAAATGAAAGAAGCACCATCTAAGTCGAGAACCCGTGCCTGCCTGCCTGCCTGCCTGCAAATGGCATCGCGCGCGCGAAATCTGCCCCCGGGGGATTAGAATATTCGCTCAAACTTTTTCCTTACAAGGATCCTCGATCGAGTAGTAAAAAAAGGAAGGAACAAAAGTGGAAAGTCGAAAATTGGTAGAGAGAAATCGATTTATTTAGGTTAAAGCCTTCGAGCTGTCTTATTCCCTTTCGACTTTTTCCCCAAGAGCGAAATGGAAAGCACGGTAGCACCCTTTTCCTTTTGAGCTTTTACGGAATCAATTTCTAAGCAACCTGACGGAACTCGATCAAGTTAAATTGCTCGCTAAACTTGTCTTGCAACAGATGTAGCTACGATCTCTCTTCGTTGCTTCCTTTAATGAGATATAATATTTACCAATAAGGTGGCATGACGGCGGCGTCGAACTTTCATATCACTCGAAATCCAACGCGTCAAGGATTTGATAATATTTCTGATGACTATTTTTCCAAGCTAGTATGCTCTTCACGAAGAGCGTCAAGAAGAAGAGCGTCGAGTAGCACGTCGACGAACAAGTCCAACGAACGACTGCTAGCAAGCGGAATGGCTTCTTCTTAGTCTGCTCTGTCCCGCGCTTCGCCACAATAGCAAATGGTGGGAGATCAAAACGCTGACTAGTCCTTGCTCTCTCCTACGTGTATATGTACATATACACACGTACACATATATGTATATATGCCGCGTAAGATTCTATGTATACAACCCCGATGGCTTCCTCGTTTTAATTCCAAGTTACTTATTGTTAGTAGAGCGCACGAGCCACGGTTATACTTGAAAATTCTTCGAAAACAAACTCGCTTACATAAGTTAAAAGTTCGAAGAAACAATAACAACAGCAACAAAATAAAACAACGTTAAAATATTCGATTTGAAAGTACGATTCGTACACCGAATGATTTGAATGATGCATTATAAAATAACATCGTACGTAGGATAGCAATGAAAGAAGATAAGGTTTGATTTGCTCAATACCGAGTTACACACAGAGGAAGACGGTACATACACTCGACCCAGAGAAGATCATACGCCAAGCCTCTACGCTCCAGTAATTATGCGAGCAGTTTTTTTACTTGAAGGCCCTTAGGGTACGTCGAGGTCGAACGATTTCTCGCTTGGCCAGGACGATATTATGATTATCATTATGGATCGTACTTCGATAAACGATTGAATATTGAGTTCCGAGTAGGCAAAATATTAGCCATTTTGTTCTTTCTTTTTTTGTTGGAAATCAAAGAAAAACAAACACCTCTGACGAAACGAACAAAGCGACTCGTTTATCTTCGCTCGGTAACTAAGTCGAGAAGATGCGTATCTCGAGGGGGTTTCTGTTGCAGACGGATGATTCGTCGAGAATACTTCTCTCTCGTGATGCTAACCACCTCGGAGATGATTCTTCCGCATAGGAGCATTCAGAACAGGATGTTGAGACGAAAAAGAAGAAGAAGAAGAAGAAGAAGAAGAAGAAGAATCTTCTTGGAAAAATTGGACAAATAAACAAAAACCAACGAACAAAATGAACACAAAATATAAATTATACAATGCTTTTTTTCTTTCTTTCTTACAAATTGCAAAGACCTTTTAATCATCTCGTATATCTTAAAAGAGATAATTTCGTTAAAATTACGATCGTAAAAACCGATACACATCCTAAAAAGAAAAAAGAAAACAGAAAAAAGTTAGGGGAAACACCGATATCGCTTCCTCTTCGGACACCTCGAACGAAAAAAACGTGCCACGCCTATAAAGTTTTCGCGTTCGTTTCCTTCTTTATTTTCTCTCTCCCTCTCTCTCTCTCTCTTCTGTCTTTCACTCTTGATTTCAGACATTCAGCAGTCACGTCGTCCTACGTCAAGTTATTCTTGGTTACGCGTTAATATTATAAATGTGCAAGCTACACCGACTCCGGTCATTTTTCCTTCCGGTTGATGTAGCTTGACAAATGTATCCAAATTTCAAAATAAACATTTTTCTATCCAATCATTAATGAATAAATCTATGCATACAGATCTGTGAAAAAAAAAATCTTGTTAAAAATTCTAACTAAAGATTTGAAAATAAATAAATAAAAGGTGTTCTTTTTATACTCTCAACTACTTTGCAAACATTTACAATAGATCCGAGATCGATTTCCGAGACGAAATAATACAAAAAGGAGAACTTCTTGAAATCGACAACGTTTCTAACTAATTCTACCATTTTTTACGAAACAACCAACGTCCAATTCGTTCTTTTTTTCTTGAAAAGTACACCAGAAAAAATTTATGTTAGAAAGTTTTAAGAAGACGATGAGTTATTTTTTTTGTACTTGTGAATTTATCAACGATCTTAGAAGTTAAATATTTGTTCTTTGAGAATCGAGTAGTCAACGTTTGCAAAGAGTATACATGAATACATAATACCTAAATTCGGTATTACGATTAAAAATGTTATGTTAAATAAATGAAAGATGATTGAATAAAATTGAATAAATAGCATAAATGTAGGTAAGTGTATCATGTATCGATGTTGCGGAAGAAAAGCATCATATAGGAAGACGGAAAACGCGTGCTCCGTTCCTCTCGATTTGAACGCGTGCACAGAGAGACGAGAAACCAGTTTAACTGTCGTGAAAGTACGCTGAAGGCTTCGTCAATGAAACCGGCGCAATCTCGAGCAAGTAGACGGTTTCGCATTTTCGAATGACACGAAGGAAGTAAATACCAATTAAAAAGCATTAGCTAATTTTTCTCCATCAAAGTTCAAAGGAAAGAGAGGAGGCTATATAATTTCTATCAAAATGATATAAAAAGACAACTTAAATTAACGCCACTGTTATTGGTGTTGAATGAAGTAGTAATAAAAAAAAAAAAAAAATGCTAAGATGCATATAAAAGTAAGTAAGTGGTAATATCATTGAAACGGTACATAGATGCGATGAGAAGAGAAGAATAAGGAGCGAAGTAACGTCTGTATCCAGAAAGACGCAACGCAACGTCAAAGCCAAAGTCTGGAAGCAACCGAGCGTGATAAAACCGGCTTCAATTCTTCTCGCGGGATCGGCAAAAGTCGTCTCTCATTGGCGTCGAGGACTAGCAAATAGAGAAACGAACAACGAACTCTACAAAAAGCGATCGTACAATTTATCTACCAACTGGCTCCCGGACCAGTGTTTATCCAGCACACGCTTCGC